CCTGCCCCCTTTTCCGATCTCGGTGCAGTGTTGCTGGGAGGCTTCGTTGAGCCACACGGCGGGCGTTGAACTGGTTCTGCTGCGTCCGAGAAGGTCATGGGGAGGGTAGGCAGAGTGGAGGGCGAGGTCGAACAAAAAATAGAGGAAGTGGGTACAAGTGTACGTGTCGACGCGCAGAAACGTCGCTGGATAACAAAACAGGTGAATAGTCGGAAGGAGATTGGACGGCGCGTGGTGCCGTCCTGGAGCAAAACGGGTACAGCCTGTGCGACGCAGCAGTAAAGCCGAGGTAGGAGCGTGGGAAGTAGGTGCTGTTGGGTACGTGGGCACCCTCTCGGTAGAGGTGGCCCGCACCACGGGCCTGGGTTGTTCTGCATGGGTAGGGGGTCGTCGTGGTCACCGATGCCTCAGGGTGGGGACATGTGCGCGGAAAGGGCGGTCGTGTCGGTGCGTCGCTGCGCGCCGAATATTATCGCCGACGCGTCCTCGAAAGGAACCGAAGGTGGGTATGAAAACGTCGCGTGGGACCGTATGGGTAAGTCGGAGCATATTGCAGCCTGCACAGCGCCCCAGCTGAAGTCGAATTAGGAATCGGAGTGATCGGAGTACGTGTAGTCTTAGCTCCCACCGCTGTACGTCGGTGGGTGGCTCGAGTAAGCGAAGCCGTGCTGGTCGTAGCTCTAAGCTGGCCTGGTACTAGCGCTGTGGGCCGGGCTGGGGCACGGGCCCCAGCCCTGGGAGGCAGTGTGGGGCGGGTGAGCAGTCGTGGAGCGGTCTTCCTCGCAGACGTCGTTGTCGCCCGTGATCCGCGCCAGCGATGGTGGTTCGTGCAACACATGTCCACGTCAACGACAGGGTAGCGATGGTAGCGGAAGGCCACGGTCTCAACGATGTCGCTGGTGCGGCGGAGCCAGGCGGTCATGATCACTATTGGACGATGGCCCGTGATGGCCTTGGACGTCGGCGTAGTCGCTCATCCACGAACACGCATCTCCCGCCCAGCGCTCATGTCGTATCGAGGGTGTCGGGTTGGGTCGATGACGTTTGAGGAGGCAAGGCGTTATGCTCAGCAACTGCCCGCTGTCGGCGAGGTTGGCTATAAGTTGAGCAGGGACTGACCGTCCCATTCCTATAGGCCTACCACGACATGTTCTTAGAACCCCAACAAAAATACTAAGAGCAAGAACAATGTTCTTAGAACATAAACCCGATGTGTTAAAACAAGACAGTCCCAGCCAGAAATGTTCTAAGAACATTTCGTGGAAACCACAAAAGATTCTTAGAACATTGCTTAGTAGGCCTATAGGCACACCAGGACGCTTCGCCACTGCTTGAATGGGGTCATCGAGCGGCGGGCTGGTTGGCACAGTCGCCAACGGATCCTGCAGCTCACGGCTCAGCCATGGGGGCTGGGCCTGCAGGAGGCAGGCGGCTGCTCTCTTGTCGGACTCGGCGAAGGGCCCCAGGGGCCCGCCGCACGAGTGAGGTGCCGAAGCAGCAGGGCTGCGCAGCTGGCTGGCGATGCGGGAAGGCTCCATGTGGACCTGGTTGTTATTTCGGTCGAAGTACAGTATTCGGCCTGACCTACGGAACGATGAATAAGGAAAGAAGCCCCTTTGTTTGCAAGTAAGTCTACGTACGAAGTCCGAAGAAACACCAAGGGGGCTCGCCGCCAAAAAGGTAGCAGAACGCATGCAAATCAAAAGAACGACCGAACCCCTTTTGAAAAGTAAGTGTTCCTTATCGAAGCTGGACCCTGTACCGTCAGCTGCTGGAGTGGGTGCCGCCATTGGTTCTGCACCGTGGGTGTCGGCAGGTTGGCGGGCAGGCTGTAAGTCTGCCATCCCCGGTGCGATCTTGGGGTTGATCCGAGGGGTCGCTGCCGTCTTGACCTGCTCCTCCGACACCGCGTCCTTATCCTCCTCCTTCTACTCCTTGTGTCTCCTGCTTCGATGTATATATATATACATATATATATATATATATATATGTATACAGAAACATAGATACAACAGATAAGCAAATATCAACGCGGCATTGAAAGGCTCCTGACTGTCATGACAGATGGAGCGATGGCACCTCTCCGCGAAGGCTATCGCAAACAGGGCGTCAGGCGAGCTCGACAGGCGACGGTGCCCCCACCAGCCCACCCTCCCCCCACCACACACCGCTTGCGATCGGCTGCCGAGCGTGGGCAGACTCCGAGCAGGCGAGCCACCTCTCCAGGCGGCGTGGGCAGCACGGAGCGCGCATCGGCCGGGTGTGGAGCTCGAGGCTGCGGGGCGCGCAGGCAGCGCGGCACGCCCCGGGTGGGCTGGACGGGACCGGCCCGGCGGATCTCGCCCCGCACGCAGCTCGTTCGGCCGAGCTCGCCCCGCACGCAGCCCGCCCGGAGCTCAACACCCGTCAGCGGAAGGCCCCCGCCGCTCGGCTCGCCCAGCTGGACTTTTGCCCCCCGCGTGCTCCGGCCCGAGCGCTGGCGGAGCGCCATGCCCAGGCGTCCCCGGCGGCCCGACCGAGCTCGCCCAGGCGGAGCTCGCCCAGAGCCGCCCTCGCCCAGGCTCGACTCGCCCAGGCTGGCTGGGCCAGCTCGGCCAGCGCGAGGGCGAGCCTCGGGCGAAGCCCCGAGCCTCGGGCGAGCCGAGGCAGGGACAATCACTCGGGTGCCTCCCGGGGGAGGCCCCTGGCGGTCCGCGGAGGTCACCGAGACCGCTGCTCCAGGAGTCTCTGCTGGGGGTGCGTTCGCACCTGGATTCCGAGGCGAATGGAATACATACGTGGCGACCGGGCCCCCGCCAACCAAAAAGACCCAAGCAGGCGAGAGGGAGGGAGCGATGTCGGTGCCGATGCAGGCGACCCGTATAACGAGGATGTGCGGTAAGGGATGCAAGGGCCATGGAAGGCCATGCCGACACTTTGCGGGCGGGGCGCGGCCAGCGAAAGCAGCCAAAGATGGGCCGAAGGGGAAGGGTGCAAGGGTAACGTTGAAAAGTTGTTCATGGTTGCTATGCGGGTTGACTGTATGTGTTCCTCCTCTGGCACTCCCCCTCGCCAGACGACCCCCGCGCGACTGAGAAGGCTGCGGAGGCGTGGCGACTAGAGGAAGCGTCGACCTATCATATCTCTGCAGAGGGCGGAAGAACCATCCGCACAATCAGCACAAACAAGGCCCTCTGGCAAGCGCACCTGCAGAGGGAATCGAGCAGGACAGGGCCGCTCAGCAAACGCACAGGGCCACTTGGTAAACATAGCTTATGCTGGTTGGGGTGGTGAAGCTTCGGGTTGCGCACCGACCGCCCTCCAGGTCCCAGGTAGCCCCAGGGGGCCACAGCTGGCCTCAACAGGCCTCCCGAGGAGTCCGGGGCCTGGCCTGGTTGAGGCCAGCCAGGACTGCCTGGGGGAGGGGGGGGGGGGCTGTCTGTGCGCAGCCCGAAGCCCCTTGATTGAGGACTGCGCTCAAAGCAAAAAAACAAAAAAGGCATTCCAGAAAGAACCTCGCCTTCGGCGGAAGCCTGCAGGAGGGCCAGCGGAGGGCCGGCAGAAGCACAGCAACGGCGGCGGGCCCACTGGAGCAGGCTGGCGCAGACGGCCAGCGGACGTAAGAGGGAGTAAAAAACAAGACGTCGAAGCGCCAGGGCCCTGTCAACGGGGACATTTATACAGTCGGGAACTGTTGCTGAGCGCATCGCGGCGGCGGCCCTGGCGACGCGCTGTGCCCTGCGGGAGGATGGCGTGTCGCTCCACTCCGAGGGGCGGGAGGCTGGGAGAAGCTAAGGACTTTGATGCCTGGGGAGGGGACTGGGACGTGGATGGCGTGTCGCGCCGAGGCGTGGTGGGCCAGCACCGGCTGGCGCGACGCGCCAAGCAGAGGCTCCAGACCGTAAACCAGGACATTGGTGCACCCGAGAAAACTGCGGCAGTGGGTCGAACCGTATTCCGAGCCCCGCTTTCTCTCCCTTCTCCCCCCGAAGTTCCCAGAGCCCTGGCTTGCCACGTCCCGCCCTCCGGCGCTCTGAGCGCCTGCGGACTCAGAGCCTCTGGAACCGGCCAGCAGAAGCTCTCGGCAGACGGACCCCCCCCGCGCGGCGCGCTCCTCGTGCCAGTGGGACCTCCAGTGCAGCTCGCCCAGCGGGGCCGCCTCCACGGGCAGCAGCGCCGGCTGCTCCACGGGGGCGGGGGCGGGGGCGGCCGCCTCCTTCTCCGCGGCGGCCGGCGGCTCTGGCGCGGCCTCGGGGGAGGGGGAGGAGGAGGAGGAGGAGGAAGAGGAGGAGGAGGAGGAGGAGGAGGAGGAGGAGGAGGAGGAGGAGAGGGAGGAGGAGGAGGAGGAGGAGGAGGAGGAGGAGGAGGAGGAGGAGGAGGAGGAGGAGGGAGGGAGGGAGGGAGGGAGGGAGGGAGGGAGGGGAGGGAGGGAGGGAGGGAGGGAGGGAGGGAGGGAGGGAGGGAGGAGGAGGAGGACGAGGAGGAGGAGGAGGAGGAGCGCACGCGACCGAGGGCGACGACGACGACGACGACAGGTCATCCAAGCAGCTGGACCCACGGGTTTCCGCGCCGCCGCAGCTGCTTCAGCCGCGCTGCGGCGTAGCGTTGGATGCGCACTCCCCCTTCTCTGGGGAGAAAATTGAAGCGCAAAGCGTAAACCATGACAAGTCTGAAAACATAGTAGATCGAGGGAAAGAGCGCTGGTGACTAACTCGGGGGCCTCGGAGGAGCTCCACGGGAAAGCGGAGGCACGATCAACACCAGAAAGCAAGGAAAAACGGGAAGAGGTCTCAAGACCATGCGTGATACTATCATACACAATGCGGCATTGTAAGTAGTGAGAAAAGCGATCGGCCCCAGGAAGGACACACAGTTGATCGAAGTTAGACATGAGAGAGCGCATCACCGTACCATTTTACAGGGGACTCTCTCGCCACGAACTCTGACACTCGGCACTTTCCGCCATGGCGCAGATGCGGGTACGAGCACGGAGAAGTTAAATACGCTTGCAAGCAAAACGGTAAGAGGGCAGCACGGGGTACCAGCTCCAGCTTCCTCAGCTGAGTTGAAGCGCCCATGTCGGACACATGCTCGCGGATGGCACTGCTAAAGGCATTCCGTGGGCCCCCAACAAGAATTTGTCCAGCAGCAGACACTCCTTGAAATAATTCGCGAGACGGCGCGTAGAACTGCACTATATGAGACAGACACCTGGACGCACTCTGCTCAAAGATAGCCAAGCTCTCGCTTAGACCGACACAAGGGCCTCGATGTCACAAGTCCTCTCCAGGCACTTGCGCAAGGGGGGGGCCCAAGACGAAGCCATGCCACCTTTCCTAAGGGAGAAGCCCAAGCATTTGGCACAGCAGACCACTGGGAACTCTTTGGGGGGCACCCATTTATCCTCCAGGAACTTGTCCATCTTATCATGGGCGAACTCAGCCAACGGGATGCTCACTGACTTCCCGCGGTTTAGATATAGCCCGCCTGCACGTGCAGCACAGTCAAATACAAGTAGCACGCGTGCCAGCGAAAGGAATACATCCTGGGCGACCATGCCAAAATCGTCGGCGCAGGCCACCAAGACGGACGGAGCCCCGTGGAACCCGAGCTCAAACGAAGAGCGACGAGGCCAACCTTGTCAAATCCCACGACGGACACACCATCCATCCTCCTGAGGCCCGCGAAAGTAGAAGTCAAAAATCCACTCCCATAAATACCACCCCGACACGCCAAGTCGTTCAGTGACGCGCCCAAACGAGGAAGGGATCGAACAGGGCAGGGCTGTTTAGTAAACGCCCAGGGCCGTTTCATAAGCACTAATTGTCTGGCCCGCGTGGTTCGTCCTCCCTTGAAACAGGACACAGAGACCCATGCTTTACGATACAAAAGCAGCGACTGCACGACGCCTCTTGCCGTGAAGCCTCAGTTCGCCCCCAAAGACGAACGCCGCCGTGGCGCGGAGCAGGGCGGGGAAGGCGGCCTCGATGTCGAACGCGACGTAGCCCGCGTGCCGCAGCCCGTCCTGGAGGAGCCAGCCAACGGCCCTGGACTCAAAGGCAACAATGGAGGGCGAAAAATCCACCCCCATAATAACCACCCCGACACGCGAAGCCGCTTACTAAACGCACCCACTGAAGGAATCGAACAGGGCAGGGCTGTTTAATAAACGCCCAAAGCCGTTTGGTAAACGCCAGTTGTCCGGTCCGGGTGGTTTGTCCTCCGTTGAAACGAAATCGTTGGCAAAATGTCCCCCAATAATACGGCCTCTCTGGATTTCGGAACAAACCTCCTGGATGACTCGGGCAACTGTCACATCGACTGCACGACTGGCGGGCTCATTGTCAGAGCTGCCGGGCGAATTTGGCCGCACCTGAGACGGCCCGCGACATGCAAAGTTCACCGCGTCATTTGGGACTCGCCCTCGGGCAGAAAGACAGCGGCGCCGAAGTTGAAACGGTCGGGAAGCCGACATTGCGCGAGAAGCCTCTGATAAACAACAAGAAACAATTCCATTGTAGAGGCAACTCCCCGAACCCCAGCAGAGCACGGGATCCCGTCGGGCCCCGGACACGAATGCTTTGCGGTTTGTGCAGGGGCACCGAATTCAGCAAACTCCATCTCCCAAAACACGAGGGGGACACAGTTTTTAGGAACGGACGCAGCTCGGCACGGCAATCTGTTTCGCCCTCGACAAAGGCAGGTGCTTGCCCCCAATGCTGAGCGAGAAAGCGGGCAGCATCACTATGTTCAGTAACATATTGACCAGTCGGATTCGAGACCCCCGAAAACATAATCCTCATCCTCCACCTCCTCCTCCTTGACCCCTCATGCTGATAGGTGCGAAGTATGATTGTCACGAGATGCTGGTTTCTGGACCGACGGACTGTCAGATGCTTGATGCTTACACTTCAGCGAGCTGCCCCACAAGCTTCGCAGTCGTAAGTCTGCCCAAGTAAACGCGACAGCCCACTCTATCAAGCCACATGCCTGACTGAGGACAGATAAACTTCTGAAACGAATGAAGGTATCCAAAGGCACGCTGCAGGAAAACAAGTAAACTTTGCGGGGTGGCCCGCGGGGCCGCGATAGCCCAGTGAGGGTCGGGATAACTACATGGGCCCAGTCTCCTCCAAGGTGGCCTCCGAGAGCGTCTTACACATCTTATGTTTGTTTACCCAGGCAGGAGCCCGAAAACCTCTGGGACGAGACTGATGCAATAACAATGCCACAGGAGCGCGGCCACATAGCGGCCAGTCCTCGCTGGTTGCCCAGGGCAAGACACTGTCGAGGTCGAAATCAAGAAGGACGGCGCCGGGGACGTTGGAAAAAATCTATCAAGCCGCGCAAAAGACGCCTGCGCGGACCTGCCGCCACTCACGTCCGTCACGCGATGAGTGAAATAATTCTGTTCGACCTCGCAAAGACCCGAGAAAAGCGCGTCGAAATACCGTGCCCGACTAGAGCGCCCACACCTCGGCCCTCCCAATCGCGCGGCACGATCTCCCCCCCTCAACCGACAAGGAAGGCGGCGCAGGCGTCGGCACGACGCAAGTGAGACTACCATGAATGCCTTGCCTGGCCTGGCGGCGAAGCGGATGCGCCCCGTGACAGGACACGACGATGGAGAGCACCAAATTGTGCCGGAAGCCGTGGGCGCACAAAAAGGAGATCCCCTACAGCGGGCCGAGATTTTATAAAGTACCTTTGCCGAGAACTCCCTGGAATTCTTTCTTGAGCCTGTCAAGACCTTGTTGGGTCCCACGGGCCTCCAGAATACAGACGGCATCGTGAGCCTGGACCAATCGAAACAGGTGGTTGATTTTCTGCTCAAGCATTGAATGGCTGGCAGTGGGCCCTCCCAAAAAAGATCTGGCGTTCCAGGTCGCAATCGAGAAGTCGGCGCCGGGGGAAAATTGCCTGGCTGCACATGAAGGCGGCCTTGCTCCAGGCAAGGAGAGGGGCGAAGACGAGCTGGAACTGGTAGAGGAGGAGGAAGCCGAAGAAGAGAAAGAAACCGAGCATGCATAACTGGAACTTGACACTGATGCTGACAGATACCTGGCCGGCACAACTGAAGACCGCACAGTTGACGCAGCCTGGCACACACGCATTAGACATGTCGAACCCCTATTCAATGGCACTCCAAACCAGTGCCAAGACCTGGTCCTTGCTCATCTAGAGTTTGAAAATTTCAAAGTCTGGCCCCAGGTTGGCGGAGGTGTCGGCGTTGTGGGTGATTGTGCATAGGATGTGGACCTCCTCGCCTTTCGTGAAAAATCCCTTGGTGACCATCACAACCACGACAATGTCACTGCCGATCTTCTTGCTAGCAAAATGGTGCGAAACACCCTGCCACACTCTGCCTGGGACCATGCTACGACGACGGAGATCACAATTGGCATCGCGACGAGCACGGAAATGGGCATCGCCTTTGGCGTTCTCGAACTTCAAATCGGTGTTCTTGACATGCTCCACATCTGTTTTCGCATCGTTGGCAGTCTCGAAGCAATCGATGAGCGGTGACGGAGGAAGGACGCTTGATGTGCGACGGGAGATACGGGATGACCTCGTTCATGCAAGAGACCATGACGCGCGCAAGCATGGGAGACTGGAGCCCGCTGGCCCAGATCTTCTGGGGGTCGGAGTCCTGCTCGTTGCTGCCCGAGCCAGTGAACACCGATGTGCGAGGCCCCGCGGCCCGCGCTGCCACCGAGGACGAGAGGCACCTGAAGCACTGGAAGCCGGCAAGGAAGTGCCTGAGCGAGTGCTGCCTGCATCTAGACTAGACTGGCTCTCAAGAACGTTGGCCTCCAATTTGGCGAGTAGGGCTGCTTCTTGGGCTGCGTCAAGACCTCTGTGGATCTTAGCCTCCAGCGTGGACAGCCTATCGTTGAGCACGTTGTAGTTCTCTTCGCACTTGCCGACCGCAGTCTGAATCCCATCGAGGTCTGACTTAGTGGCCATATTGGACTCCATGCGATGCAGCATTGCCGTGATGGGGTCAGCGCACTCCCTGCCGTCGGAGACCTTCGGGCACATATGACGGTCTCCATCACTCGACATGTCGAGATCACCAAGCATCGCACCTGCCACGAAGGAAAGGCTGGTCCGTCTGGGCACGTACCCGTACCAGGTGACCTGCGTACACTTTTACGGCCCACTTACACTTACCCTTTACACTGGATTCTGTCCCACTGCTCTCAGGACTCAGGATACCACTACTTCCACATCGGTAAGCAGACTTCCTCCTGGGAGCCGTCGTGGCACAGCCGCGAGCGGCGACGACGAGCAGCAGCACGCACCCTGCCCAGGGTCGAGGCAGCACGCGACCCGCTCGACTCGCACCACAGCGCCCAGAAGCCACCGCGACACCCACCTCGAGTCCCAACCATTGGGGAAACCAAAAGGTACCGATGCCGCTACCCCCCGGACCTCTCTCGGGGTGCGTTCTGACCAGAATTTCGAGGCGAGTCCAGCGGTGGCGACGAGGGCCTCCGAGGAGGCCCGAAAAGGGGGAAAACGGGCGAGGGGTAGAGGTATGGGTACGTTTTCCTCCTCCGAACCATGGCGACGTCATGGAGTGCAAGCGCGAGCGGATCGGGAACGGCGATACCGCAGTGGAGGTCCACATCGAGCGCCAACGAAGCAGACTAACTACGCCAAGATCCACCACACCGGCATCTGGAGCGGGTCTCGCACGCTGGAAGAGCCACAATTGGACGGACCAGGGGGCCAAGGATTACGTCGGGCCTGTCCCTCTACAGGAGGAATATTCAAAAATAGTGAAACAATAGTCTGGGGACGATTGTTTGACTACTTTTGACCATGTGGGAGCATTTTGGGAGTATTTTCATTTTTCGTCCAAAATCCCCCTGTAGGGGGACATGCCCGATTTAAGCCAAGGAGCACCCCGACAAGACCTGGGGCCACAGCTACAGCCACAACAGCCGCAGCAACAGCGGCAAGGGCAGCAGCAACAACGGTAGAAAGGAAATACCACGAAGCACAACAACGAGCCCGACAACTGGACCCCGAAAGGCAAGGAGAAGCCCAGCAAGGGCAAGGGCAAGACAAAGCAACAACCTGACATTCAAAAGCAAAACAAGAAGAATAATGGGTGACACCCATAACTACAACGCCGCATTGCCAACACATCAGCAAAGGCATGCCCATGAGGAGGATCTACGCCACCAGTAAGCACGACTGGGAGCTACCGCCCAACGACCCCAAGCTGAAGGACGACCGCCCGAGGCTTAAGCGGGCCGCAGCAGCCATTGCCAAAAACAGTGCAGCAGGATTACCGACCACAGACGCCATGGCACAGATCGCCTTCACCACGGCCATGAACCTCAACAGTATGTCCCTGGCGCACCAGACAAAGGAGACCAGGCGAAGAGGAAATAATTTCGGGCGAATGGGGTCGGTCGAATGAGGAAATGATTTCGGGCGAGCGGAGACTTGTTCCCCATCGAGCGAAGCAAAGTACAGACGCTGGAACAGGAAACTCGGTATTTGAAGCCTCCACAAACCATGGAGAACTGGAGACCTTCGAAAATTAGCCTGACAAAGGACCCAACCATATGCAACTGTGAGTACAGCAATTGTGATTCACTTTTTCGGTGGTGGTCCCTATGAGGCAACGAACCGTGCTAGGGGTGTGCCGACATGAGTGGCGTGGCGTGGTACACAACTCGAACGAAAACGATTGATCTGAGTACGTAGGGAGACTGAGCGCGGGTGAATATGAGCGCGAGTGCGTCTGACTGTGAATGAATCTACGTGCGAGCGAGTCTACGTGCATGAATGCGGGTATGACAAAGCATTGTGCAATTGTATGTGAATGTCAATAGTTTGAGAATGACTGCCTCTGAGTACTCGTTGGGCGTGGCCGCCGCAAGGAGCTTCCCTGGGACTCCCCGACGGCATGGCCCGCGCGCCGCGACGCCAATGTCGGCGCGCCTCCCCGCGAGGATCGCGCCCGCTTCCTCCCCTTCTTTTACTCCCTCTTTGCCCGCGCACTCAAAAGTCCAAGGCTGCGAGCGCAGCGCAGCGCGGAGTCCCCGCGACGCGTACAGGTCGCCCCGGAGGGGTCCCAGCGACGCGCGCGGGTCGTCCGCTGCGCGGAGCAAAAAGAGCTAGCTGGCTGGCTAATAGCGGGCAAGGCTCTTGCCGCTGGGCAGAGCGACGACGGGCGAGCGAGGCGCGGAACTCCGACGGCCTCCGACGGAGGTGTACTGGGTAGGGGAAACGCATGCGGACTGCGCCACGGGGACCTTTAGTGGAGCTCCCTATGGGGCCACGCAGCGCTGTACTGGGTGGGGGAGACGCATGCGGACTGCGCCACGGGGACCTTCGGTGGAGCTCCCTATGGAGCTACGAAGCGCTGTACTGGGGGTGTTGATGCTGATGTTGATGTTGATGTTGTTGATGGTGATGATGATGATGATGATGATGATACTGATGATGATGATGGTGATGATGATGATGATATTGATGATGATGATGATGCTGATGATGATGATGATGATGATGATGAGGGGCTCCACATGGGGCCACGAAACGCTGTACTGGGTGAGGGAGACGCATGCGGACTGCGCCACGCGGACCTTCGGTGAAGCCCCTACGGGGCCACGAATGGCTGCACTGGATGAGGGAGACGCATACGGACTGCGCCACGGGGACCTTCGGTGGCGCTCCCCGTGGGGCCACGACACGCTGTACTGGGTGAGGGAGACGCATGCGGACTGCGCCACGGGGACCTTCGGTGGAGCCCCATATGTGGCCACGAAACGCTGTACTGGGTGGGGGAGACGCATGCGGACTGCGCCACGGGGACCTCCGGTGGCGCTCCCTATGGGGCCACGAAACGCTGTACTGGGTGAGGGAGACGCATGCGGACTGCGCCACGGGGACCTTCGGTGGAGCCCCTATGGGGCCACGCAGCGCTGCACTGGGTGGGGGAGACGCATGTGGACTGCGCAGCGGGGACCTTCGGTGGAGCTCCCTATGGGGCCACGAAACGCTGTAGTGGGTGAGGGAGACGCACGCGGACTGCGCCACGGGGACCTTCGGTGGAGCCCCTGTGGGGCCACGAAACGCTGTACTGGGCGGGGGAGGCGCATGCGGACTGCGCCAAGGGGACCTTCGAAGGCGCTCCCCGTGGGGCCACAAACGCTGCACTGGGGGGTGATGATGCTGATGTTGATGTTGATGTTGATGTTGATGTTGATGATGATGATGATGATGATGATGATGATGATGATGATGATGCTGATGATGATGATGCTGATAATGATGATATGATGATGATGCTGATGATGATGATGATGATGATGATGATGAGATGATGATGATGATGATGATGATGATGATGATGATGATGATGATGATGATGATGATGATGATGATGATGATGATGATGATGATGAGAGGAGGGGAGGAGGGAGGAGGGAGGAGGAGACGCGGGGACCGTCTCTTCAAAACGAGGACCCAACAACACAGGTTGGCTGGGAAAAACCTCATGTCATCAATGCCGCCGAGACCCGAATGCCCGTGAGACACGACGAGTCATGTAGACTCATGCGTTTCTCTAGGCCCAACCCATCCTTCGAACCTTCCTTTTCCGATCACAAGGGCTACAATGCAAGGCGTACACCAGAATAACACACGTCGGCCCTAGTTCTGAAAACTCCCACTTCGCCGAAGAGCTGTCGGCCACACCAAGTTTTCAATTCCAGGGCAATGAGCATAACAGGCGAACGCTACGCAAAAGAAAACCGCATCACGTGATAACAAGAGCAGTCGACCGAGAAAACTTACGGACGCTGGAATAAGAAACTCCTGCTGGAAACCTCCAGGCACCACGGAACGAAACCCGAACGCCCGAGAAAAACAACAAACCATGGAAATGCAATCGTTTTGTGTAGACCCCTTCTCCAGCCTTTGAACTGCTCTCTTTCTAGACACAACGACTACCCTAATTTTGAAAACTCTTACTGCTCGAACCAGTCTCGGCCGCCCCGCGATTTCAATTTTAGGGCGGTGACTGTTGATCGGGCGAACGCGACGCCAAAGAACAACCCATCACATGACTACTGGAACCGTCGAACGAGGAAACCTACGGACGTTAGAATAAGATACTCCTGCTGGAATCCTCCAAGCACCACGGAGCGAAACCCGAGAGCCCCCGAAAAACAACGACTACATGAAGATGTAAGACGAATGCCCAGCAAACACACGCCTGCCCTAATGTTGAAAACTCCTCCTTCTCCGAAAACCTCGCGGCCACACCAAGTGTTCAACTTCAGGGCAATAACAATTGATTGGGCGAACGCTCCGCCAAAGAACTTTCCATCACATGATTGCAGGAGCCGTCGACCAAGAAAATTTACGGATGCTGGAATGAGACATTCCTGCTGTAATCCTCCAATCACCACGGAACATAACCCGAGCGCCCGCGAAAAAGAACGACCGTATGAAATTCAAAACGAACGCACGAATAGCACACGCCTCCTAATTTTGAAAACGCCCACTTTTCCGAAAATCTCTCGGTCACAGAAATTTCCAATTTTAGGGCAGTAGCCGTTGATCGGGCGAACGCTCCGCCAAAGAACAACCCATCATATTATTACAGGAGCCGTCGACCGAGGAAACTGACGGACGCTGGAATATAATCATATAGGAAACTCCGGCTGGCAGCCTCCACACATCACGGCGCGAAACCCGAACGCCCACGAAAAAAACCGAACCCTATAACACAGTCGATTCTCTAGACCCCATCTCCAGCCTTCGATCTCTAGACCCCATCTCCACTCCCTCTTTCGAGAAACATCGACTACATTTAACAGCCAGTCCGTATAAGAAGAACGCGCGGTAAGGATGCCAGGGCCTTGGAAAGCCATGTCGACAATTTGTGAGCGGGGCGCGGCCAGCGGAACCGACAAAGATGGGCCGAAGGGGAAGGATGCACGGGTAGCCTTGTAACGCAGCTTATCCCTATTGTGCGGGCTGACCGTAACGCAAGCGAACGGCCGAATGACACACGCCTGCCTTCCTCTTGAAAACTCAACCCCGTTGCCAAGACCTCTCGGCCACCCCGAGTTTTCAGTTTTGGGGCAAGACCCGTTGGCTGCTCATTCTGGGGACCTTCCTGGAGCCACTCGCTCCGCTCGTGCATCCAGGCTGCGTCGAACGCCCGTCGATTCGAGTCGGCCTTGAGTCGAACCTGAGCCGAACCTGAGTCGAACTCGAGCCGACCTGGGGTCGAACAGCTCCGTTAGGTGCGCCGCAGGAAGGTCCCCGAACACGAGCATCTAGGACCCGTTGACCCGGGCGACCGGCGCACCAAATGACAACCCGCCGGGCGGCGCAGCGAGCGCAGGCGGTTGCGGCGAGCGCAGGGCGGGCGCCGGCAGGCGAGCGGCGCCTCTCCGCCCGCCCTCCGCCTTCGTTGCGCTGCCGCGGGCTCCCGCCGCCCTCCCGCATATATATATATATATATATATATATATATATATATATATATTGGCCCCCGGGGTTCCGAGCATGCCCATCTCCACCGCCTGTCGAGTTCACCGAGAATTGATCCTCCAGGCGGTGGCCATGTATGAATTCCCGCCTCGGACCTCTGGCGCTGGCGCAAGGAGAGTGAGGTGTCGCGGCCAGGGTAGACTTTCGGCAGACTCTGTCCGATCAACTCTAACTTACAACGCGCGCCGCTAGGCGGAGCTGCTGCTCGATGTTCGAGCTAAGTGTGCTCTCCACGCAACGCGCGTTTGTTTCGACCTGTGCCGGTCGCGGGCTTGGTCCATTATGTGCGTTGCCTGTTGCAGCTATCTGTGACCGCACAGACGCGTGAGTGACGCAGACGTCTTGGGGCGCGGCGAGGGGGATGTCACGGAAGGGGATGGTTTGCCAGGGGTCGGTCAGGCCGCCCCTGAGCCTTCCGCCGCGGAAGAAGAGGCAACCCCGTCGATCCTCGAAGACAGCCAGCCATGTTTGGAGCGCCGCACCTTGGCAGGAACCAGCACCCCAGAAATGAAGACGGAGCCCTGCCTGCGAAGCGCTGCCACGGACACGGCTTTCAAAACCAGGGCAACTCACTGGCCGATCGCCCCCGGTTGACTGGGGGACCCAGCGTTCCCCTTGGAAACCCTAGGCGACGAGGCTACAGAAATGGAACCTGAAACTCAACAACCAGTCCTAAGTTCGAAAACTAAAACCGAATGCAACCTCCCGTGCTCTCCAGAAGTGTCCATGTCTAGGGCAGCCTGCATCCAGCAGCACACGTGATAGCACCAAGAACCAATCCTCCGTCGGCCAAGAAAATATCCCCGTTCGACCGAAGAAAATTCCCCCGTTCGCGACCGAACTTTCCTGTTCGCGACTGGATTTCCCCGTTCGCCTTTTCACCCCTGGCTGGGGGGGGGAGGGGGCTGGACCCCAAGAGTACGAACAGAAACACCCCAACCCCTGGCCAAGATCCCCTGGACCACCAGGTCGGGAGTGGGGCTCCCGGCTGGGGGTGGGGGTGGGCTGTGCTGTCCACTCTATCTCTCTCCTCCCTCCCCACCCCCCACCCTCCCCACCCCCCCTCGGGTTGTACTGTCCTCACTCTCTGTCTCCTCCCTCCCCTCCCCCTACACTCCCCACCCACCCTCCCCACCCCTCCACACCCTCTCCCCCCTCCCCTCCTCAATAAAACCATGAATGCTACTATCCTCTCTCCCCTGGTGGCGTCGGGGAAATGGCCGGCCCCCGTCCGCGTACTGGTTTTTGACACACAGGATTCCCAGGAAACGGGTTTTCGCCTAGGTTTTTCCCTAAATGCTGCTCTCGCTGAAGAGCTGGCCTCAATATTGGGCTACCGCTCGTTCCGAATCGTGCTCCCGCGGCAGCGCTGGCCTCATTTCCGCGCTTCCGCTCGTTCCGAATCGTGCTCCCGCTGCAGCGTTGGCGTCAGTATTTCCAGCGCCATGCCACGGCATGGTTTTCGGTCCTTCCACACCTATTTAAATAGGCCCCAAAATCTGCTAAAATGGCCTCCCGAAGAAACCATCGGAAGTGACTACACATTCGGTGTCGATTCGTTGATTGTTTGGGCCGCGGAAATCCCCCCCTCACTTTGGGGCGTCGCCACGCCATCTATGTCATGCTACGCGCTAATCTTCAACACCATGCTATGCCATGTAATGCCATGCCATGCTACGACATCGGATTGTGCGAACTGCGAGGGGATCTACGCCATGGTAAGGGATGGGAGGGAGGGACAGGACGTCAGGCATGACGCGAGCGCACCTAGCTTGCCCTCCCCCCCTCCCCACCCTCCCCACCCTCCCCACCCTCCCCACCCTCCCCACCCTCCCCTCCCTCCCCTCCCTCCCCTTCCCTCCCCCCTTGACCCCGCTCCGCCAGGACCAGGACCTCGGCTCTGCCGCCCCCGCCCCCGCCCGAGCAGCACCAGGGGCGCCTCGGCCTCCTCGGCGACCGCCTCGGGCTGCGCCTCGGCTGGGGCCGGGGGGAGCGGGGATCCGAGCGGCCCGCCGAGCTCAGGACCCCGTCGCGTTGCGAAAAGATTGCGACGGAAGGTTCTTCGCCATGTTCTGCCTCTGGGGGCTCTCACCGGGCCCCGGGACCGTCAAACAACGACTCGGGATGAAGAACTGGTCCAGGGGAATGGGTCGAGACCTCCGAGGGTCGACGTTATCAAAAGACCACGACGTCCGGGATCTGGGCCCCTTACCCCCTGCCACACGGGGTGAACGGGTGCGATCTTCGGAGGTCGCCTGCTGCCTCTGTCTGGCGCAGGCCCGCTGGCCCTTCCAGTCGCGACGCTGCTGCTCCCGCTGGCTCTTCCTGCGGGGGGGGGAGAGGCCAGGGCCATGCGGGTGCTGGCAGTGGCGTGGTCGCCTCCCGGGCCTCCCCCGGGAAGCCAGCGTCGACGTGTTTTGCGTGGTGCGGCACGCACGGGCGATCACTCGCAGGCCAAAGGCAGCGAGAGAGAAAGAGGAAGAATCAACGTCTCCTCGACGTGCGCACCTGCCCCGACCGCCCTGGCTACGACAGCCAGAGGCTGCATGTCCTTCCTCACCTCTCGAGGGGCCCTCGAAATCAACAAAAGGCGAACACGGGCACCGAACTCCGCCTATCACAAGTGTGTGCGCATAATGTGTATATACACATGTGTGTGCACATGTACGTGTGCATACAAGTATACGTACCGTTAAACATGCATGCAGAGGTCTAAGCATTACCATTCACGTGCACGCATACGCATACACGTACACATGCATACAGACACATGCACACACACACACACACACTAAACAAAAGACGTATACATATAGATGTACACGCATGCATGCATGCAAGTGTGTATACAGACGTACATACAGACATGCATACAAACACACCTGTAAACCTACCTAGGTATGTACATGCATGCATACACACATGCATGCATACATGGGTGCACTCATAGATGAATGCATGCACGCACATATATATACAATTATATATGTATACATACATACATACATGAAACCGTACAAAACCATACATAGGTATATACAACCACACAGGTGTGCATGCATTAATCTATACATACATACCATTACACGACCATGAACCCAAATATATTCATAGACACACACATACGTGTACGTATATCTGACATTAAAGCAACTGCATATGCATAACCAATTACATCTGCATCGACTGACATACATACATATGTACGTGCGTACATACATGCATGCATGCATGCATCTATACATGCAAGGATACATACACGCGTATATACGCACGTACGTAGTTACATACTTGCATGTGCACATACTTGCGTACATTTTCCCGTCGACCCTGTGACATTAACCCCGCCCCCCCCACACACACACACACACACACACACACACACACACACACACACACACACACACACACACACACACACAGACTTGCACGCCACTCCCCCCACACGCCAGCCACGCTAGCACCCTCCCCCCCTCCGAAGCCCAGAAGGACTGCCCGAGGCAGCCCCCCAAAATGCCCTGAGATTACTTGATGTCCTCCACCAGACGGGCCCCAGGACCGCCCAAGAATGCGTACGAGTCGCCCTGGGGGGTTCCGACAAGCTCGGGGACAGCCCCACGCCGCCTAGAGGATTCCCACGCAGGCGCCAAGAGGCAAAAATCATGGATGTTGCTTAGGTGTTCTATGAATTGTTGCGTTTTCGCCCCCGACCGCCCAGAATCGCCCAACGCGGCCGAAGAGGCCCCCAAGATCGCCTCAAGACGGCCGAACAGGCCCCCAGTAAGGCCCCAAGACGGCCGACCCCGCCCCAAAACGGCCCAAAAGGGTCCTATGACGGGCCAGGAAGCCCCCCAAGAAGGCCCACGACGCACCCAAGAGCGCCCCAAAAGAGGTCCCCCAAGTAGCCGGGACAACTGACTGGCCCCGAAGAAGCCCCAAGAGGCCCACCAGGCGCGCCCGAGGGGCCCCAAGAGGCCCCCAAGAGGCCCCAAGAGACCCCAAACATGGTTCAAAGAGGCCCCGAAGAGCCTCCCAGGAGACCCCAAGAAGCCACCAAGAGGCTTCGCATCACATCGGCATTCCTCCCCATGAGGCCTGGGGGGGGGGAGGCATCACGCCATCACTCCCCCTCCAAAGCTACCAAGACAGCCTCGGACAACCCCCGCCCCTTATCTAGAATATCCCGGACTGCCCCAGACCGCCTCTCAGCGGCCCACGAAGGCCCAAGATGACTCCCAAGGGGCACCAAACCAACCCCAAGTTTTCCCCAACAATTTTGCGTCGCAGCGCGGCAAGGGCAACCCGCACGCGCGCGCCCAAGCAACGTGGGTCACGGCATTGCGAAATTTCCCGCATGCAAGAGGGGAGGAGGAGAAGAGAGACGGCCGCGGAGAGCGGAGGCAAAGAAAAAAGGCGCGCTCACGCGGCGAGGCCGCGGGGGGGCGCGCGGGGCGGCCGGGCCGGAGGGCAGCCCATGGCTCAGGCGCGGAGCGGCGTCGCGGGCGCACCCAGGGGAGGCACGAGCGACAGCAATGCAGGGCGACGCCCAGCAAGCAGGGAGCTGCTGGAGCAGCAGAGCCGCCAGGCTGGCGGGTCTGGGCGCGAGGCGGGGCAAAGGCAATGAGAGCTGCGCGAAGCTGCTGCGATGGACTGGACGCGTGCCGACACGCCCGGCACCAGCGCAGCGTGGCGGAGGCGAAGCGCGACCGCAGCGCGGGGGGGAGGGAGCCGCGAGAGCGGGGGCGAGGAGGCCAGGCAAAAAAAACTAACGGCCAGCGAGAGCCGCGGCGCCGGGGCGGCCGCAGAGCGGCGCGCGGAGGCCACGCAAAAGGCCGCGGGTGGCGGGGGGAGGTGTGTAGGGGGGGGGGGGGGGGGAGGGGGGGGGGAGGGGGGGGGGGAAGGGGGGGGAGGAGGAGGAGGGGAGGGGGGGGGGGGACGGGGGGGGGGGGGGGGGGGGGGGGGGGGGGGGGGGGGGGGGGGGGGGGGGGGGGGGGGGGGGGGGGGCAAAAAAGCAGCGAGCCGAGCCCAAGGACGGCGCATGCATCGCAGCCGTGAACAGGGCGGCGCCCAGTCGAAGCGAGGGCTGGGCGGAAGCTCCTGGCAAGCAGCCGGCAGGCACAACGGGTGGGCGACGCGGCGGCGGCGCCCCTCAAACTGGGGCGGCAACGAGCTGCCGGGCAGGGGCCACCAGCCGAAAGCACAGGGGGAGCGACCTGCCAGGCCCATGGCCAGTGAAGCGGCATGCGCGCCAAACGGGCCGGGGCCAGCGCGGCCCAAGGTACAGCGCGCGTCGGAGCGCACCAGCATCGGGCTGAAGGGGGGGCGCACAACCTGGCATGGCTGGCGTGCCCCGCGCTGAAGCCAGGAGCACGCGGCCAGTGTACAGACAGGTGGCCACGAGCTGGGCTGGGGTCTCAGCGGGCGCAGGGCGCAGCACCTGGGGTGGATGCTGCGCCCGCGGGGCGGTAACGGGTGCACCACCTGGGGTGGATGACGCGCAGAGTGAGACGCATCTAGCCGGCGCACAGACAGGTGGTTACCCGCAGGGAAGCGGACAGAGCGGAAGGAACCTCGCCTGGGGTGGATGACGCGCCCGTGAGAACGCGCCTAGCTGGTGCACAGACAGGCCGAACAGAAGCTGGGGCACGACCACAGCAGCCAAGCGCACCACCCGGGGAGGATGGCGCGCCTGGGAGCCGGAGTGTGGCGCACCGCCTGAGGTGGGAGGCGCGCCGCGCGAAACGCATCTGACAGGTGCACAGACAGGTGGATCAGAGGCGCGGGGCCCTCCTGGGGTGGAAGGCACCTCGCGGTGGTCGCAGTCCAGGTGGGTCGGTGACACGCCCTGTGGGCCCACGCAGGAACTACGTTGCCGGGCAGTCGTCGTAGGCGAGGCGTCGGTTAGAGCCCTCGCAAGCGGGACTGGCCCCCAGTGGGCCAGGATGCCTCGCTGGGGCGCTTGCCTCCTTGGCCCTTCCCGCCGGCTGCCTGGCTCTGACGGTTCTGCTGTTGCTGCCAGACCGCGCTCCAGTCGACTTCCAGGTTGCGGTAATGGCACAGGGTGCGGATGTCGTACTGAACCTCGGCGAGGTCTCCAAGGACGGCGCGGCAGAAGTCGTCAAAACCGTGGGGATTGTATCTCCCCTTGCCGGGGCACTTCCAGCCCTCGACGAAGACGGCACCACAGGCAACCTTCAGGCGGTGGGTGGTGTCAGGTCAGGTCTCGACTCTGCCATCCCTTTCCCTCCACTGCAGTGCCGAAGTTATCCCCAACACGACCAAGACAGATAAAGACGGCCACGGGTGGCGTCAAGATGGCCCAAAAGGCCACCAGCACGGCCGAAAGGAGGCCCGACAGGACCCCGAAAACGTACGCACCCAGAAAGCCGAAATCATTGAAAAACGCACCTGATGTCGAAAGTGCTTGGTGTGACCGCTTGTTCGGGTCTCGCAGCCTCCGAGATCCCAAGATCGCCCCAAGACGTCACAGAAAGAGCCCAGTGGAGGCCCAATGCAGCCCAAGAAAAGGGAATAACAGCCCAAGAGAACCCCGAGAGAGCCTGGCCTGGAGGGGGCAAACGTGGGTCCAAGCCAGAGGAGGCCCTCCGAAGGAACCCAGCACGGCCCAAGACAGCTTCCAGGCAGCCCCAAACGCTCCCGCAGCGGACACAACAAAGCGGCTCTGCCCGAGGAAGTTTCGATACGTCCCCACGAGAGCCCGAAGAGCCTGAGATGGTTCTACTGTGGCCCCAGGAGGCTTCGAATGCATCCAAAGGGGGCCCCACTGTGGCCGCGATGGGCGGGGTGGGCTTCAAAGAGACCCCCACAAGAACGACACGACTGCCCTAAGCGGGCGGAGGAAGAGGAGAAGGGGGCGAGAAGGAACCGCAAACGGAGCGCAGGGAGAAGGAGGAGGAGGAGGATGCGAGGGAGGAGAAGGAGGAGGAGGGCGAGGAGGAGGAGGAGGAGGAGCAAATGGAGCTCTGGGAGAAAGACGATGATGATGAGAAGCCCTCGTCTCTCAAACCTTGCTCCGCCGCCCCCCTTCCTTATCAGTCCCGTCGTGCAAACTCACTGTAGGTGGATGTTCATCAAACCGCTCCTGACAAGGACTCTGTCTCGTAGCGGCGATTTCTGCACGTTATTTCAAAACGGCCCCTGAGGGTAGCCAAGCCAAATAGTATGACAAGTGTCCGCTCTCTCCTCCACTTCCCGGCCCTGCCCCGCGCCCAGCTCCTCCGACCGCTCCTGCTCCCGAGTTGCCTAGGGGCCCTACCCCCCCACATGGGCGCGGGGGCCAAGATTTCAGGCGAAGCGGAGCGAGCATTCGAAACTTTGAATGTGTATACATATGTATATAAATCAATAAATAAATCAATAAATAGATAAATAAATGAATGAATGAATAAATAAATACATAAATAAATACACACATGACGCCTGCTGCGCGAGAGGTCGCGCCATGGGCTGCGCCTGATGATGCGCCCTAGGTTGCGCCCTAAGCCACCGGCTGCGCCGTGGGCCTCCGAAAATGAGAACGGCCTGCTCTGCGGTTCGCCGTTGGTTGCGCCATCGGACTCGATCCCTTCAGCCCAGCTCAGCCTCGCACACCGCATAAAAACAAATTCTGGATGCGCCCGAAATCATCAATCGCGCGGTGTATCCAGGATTTCCGCACCTGTCCTACCCACCCATCCCTCCCCCCTCCCCCCTCCTGCGCCTCAAACCTCACCCCACCCCTCATCCTCCACCCTCATTTCTCATCCAGCTCCACCCCCTGCCTTCCCCTCTCCCCGCTTCACTTGCCACCATCCTGCACCTGCCCCTCCCTGAAACAACTCTGACCCATCCTCTCCCTACCCTCCCCATTCCCCCTCCCCGCCCAATCCTTCCCTCCCTGCATCCCTCCCCTTCTCCCCCCTGCCCCCTATCAGTACCATCACCACCAGCACCCCCATCCCTCCCTACATTCATTCCCTCCGCCCCTCCCCCCCTCCCTAGAAGCCTCCTAGATGGGGTCCGAATGTGTGGGGTCGGAGGATCCCGCCGCATCGCCGATGCATTGGCGATACATCGCCGATGCATCGTCGATACATCGACGAAGCCTGTGATACATTGGCGACGTCGGCGTGGAGAAAACCGGGCCCCACATCGAGCCGCATCGGGGATGCATCGGCGATGCGGCGCGATCCTCTGACCCCCAAAAACTCTGACCCCATCTGGGACGCCTGGAACCCCTGCCTCCCCCACCCCTCCCCCGTCCATCTCTCCCCCGAGGAGGAGGAGGGCGAGGAGGAGGAGGAGGAGGAGGACGAGGAGGGGGAGGAGGAGGAGGAGGAGGGGGAGGAGGGGGAGGAGGAGGAGGAGGAGGAGGAGGAGGAGGAGGAGGAGAGGAGGAGGAGGAGGAGGAGGAGGAGAGGAGGAGGAGGAGGAGGAGAATCTCGCCCCTGCCCGCCTCAGCAACCCTCCGCCCGCACGGCGGGCCTGCGCGGCCGCCGCCTCCCGCACGGCGGGCGGGGCGCGCGGGAGACTGCCTGGGGAGGGGGGGCGGCGGTCGCGATCGAGGTCGATCCGTCCAGCATCCTGCGAATGCTCGCTCCCAGAGGAGGTGGAGGGGGAGGAGGAGGAGGAGGAGGCGGAGGAGGAGGAGGAGGAGGAGGAGGAGGAGGAGGAGGAGGAGGAGGAGGGGGAGGGGGAGGGGGAGGAGGAGAGGGAGAAGGGCTCGCTCCCAGGGGAGGCGCAACGCACTCAATGGCTTGCGCGCGTTTGCCGGTGATCTCTTGCTGGTGTGCTCGATGTGCTCGTGCTGAACTGGATCGTACTGCTCAGGCGCTGTGTTGCCATGCTCTTGTGCTTTTACGCACTGCGTTGTCTGTTGTCGAGCGGCAGCGGGCGAGCGGGCGGAGACTGGCCCGCCACCCTCCCTGCCCTGCGCTCTCCATCGGGCCTCCCCGCTTTCCTGCTTCGAGAACGAGCTCGGGGCCGACGGGGCAGCGGGAGGGGGGTGGAAAGGAGGGAGCCCAGCGTCCTGAGCCCCCCCGCCCTCCAGAGGGAGAAGACGACGACGACGACGACGACGACGACCAATGACGACGACGACGACGACGACGACGACGACGACGACGACGACGACGACGACGACGACGACGACGACGGCGACGGCGACGGCGACGGCGACGGCGACGGCGACGGCGACGGCGACGGCGACGGCGACGGCGACGGCGACGGCGACGGCGACGGCGACGGCGACGGCGACGGCGACGGCGACGGCGACGGCGACGGCGACGGCGACGGCGGCGGCGGCGGCGGCAGCGACGACGACAACGGCGGCGGCGGCTGCGACGGCGACGGCGACGACGACGGCGACACCGACGGCACAACGACGACGACGGGGGCTGCGACGACGACGCTGACGGCGACGGCGAGACGACTACGGCGGCGGCGGCGGTGGCGGCAGCGGCGGCGACGAAAAGTGCGGCGACGGCGGCGGCGGCGGCGACGACGACGACGACGAAGAAGACCCAATAGGCGCCGAGGAAGAGGCACCCTGAACCCCCCGTCATCCAAATCATCCGATGTGACGACGGGGATGACGACGGCGGCGGCGACGGCAACGGCGACGGCGACGGCGACGGCGACGACGGCAACGTCGACGGCGACGGCGACGACGGCCACCTCAACGGCGACGGCGGCGGCGCCGCCGCCGCCGATGACGACGACGACGAAGACAACAGCGGCGGCAGCGGCGGCGGCGGCGACGGCGACCGCGAAGGCGAAGGTGCCTGGCCCCAGAGCGCCCTTCCTGAGATTTGGGTCCTCTCTGGCCAGGACCTCTCAGACTTTTAAGGAAACATCGCACGGGAGGATTGTTGCTTTTGTTTTGTTGTTGTGCTTGTTGTTGTTGTTGCTGTTGCTGTTGCTGCTGCTGCTGTCGCTGAACTCCAACTACTGAAAATCATCATTGTTGATCCCCCCCTCTGGTGACCATTGTGTTTTTTCAATTGAAGTGCTTCCCCCGGGGCTCACGCCCTGATTTTTTTCTTTCAAGGGAAATCACAAGGGTCGAACTGCGCCCCTGGCCCCCGAGTTACAACAACCACAACGGCTCCCGCCTGAGACTTTCTCACAATTCAGCCAGGACCCCCGCTGCCGCCTGACACTTCCTCGCACGTTACTCAGGAATCGCGGTCTCGCTTGGGACTTCCGTGCAGTTTATGTAAGAATCGCTCTCTCGGCGCTCTGGCGTCGCGCTCTCGCTGGAGACTTGCCTGCAATCGATCCAAGAGGCAGTACCAGACGGGCTGGTCGGGCGGGGCGGGGCGGGCGGACGAGCACAGACGGCGGGGTCGAGCTGCGGGTCGCTGAAGCGTCAGTCCTGGGAAATCTGGAGCAGTCGCGCGATCCCTAAGTGAATCGTGACGAATTCCGAAGCGAGAGCGTGATTCCTGGGTGTTGGCGGCGCGGCGTCTGATTCGATTGCAGGGATGTCTCGCGCGAGAGCGCGATTTCGGAATACATTGTGAGGAAGTAGCAGGCGGGAGCCGTCGTTCTTGTAAGCCGGGGGCCAGCAGCCCAATCTGAGGCGCAAGAGCTCCCCTTGTCAAAGACCGGTGCGCGAGCCGCGAGCCCCGGGAGGAGCACGGGCATTGAAAAACATAGAAATGGGCACCCGGGGGGGATCGAGTGTCGTTGTTCTTCAGCAGTGAGAACCCAGGAACGCACACACACACACAACACGGGGCACCAGGGCCTGAGATGCTCAGGGTCGGGTCGGGCATCCACGCGCTTCCGTCCCAGACGCTGAAGGGGCCGGTGATGCCGAAGGGCTCGTCGGCCACGTCCGACGCGAAGGCCCAGCCTGGGGCACGGGGGCGCCAAAGATACGGCGAGCAGCTCGACGAAGGCGAGGGCGAAGGCGAGGGCGACGATGGAGACGGGGAGGGAGACGGGGAGGCTAAAGGGGCCCCAGGACACACAAAGACATACAGACAAATAAAAAGATTCCCCATATTTTCCTATATTTTCTGGGTTGTTGTCTTCCCCCCCACTTTCCATATTTTCCCATATTTTCCTGGGAGTCGACGATTAATTGTGTCTGTGTGTTTTTCCCCTCCTGGGAGGCAGGGGAAGGCAAGACGCAGGCGCCAGGAGGCAAGATGGTGGATGAAGTGCACTGGGCGGTAACCGAACGACAGAGGCCGCGGCGCGGCCGATGCCAGAGCGGGTAAGACGACGAAGAGGACAAATACGAAGACAAGCATGAATTTGCAAGGATGGTAACAGGACGCGAGGGGGAAACGCCCACGAATACCACGACGAAGAAGAAAGTACGCTGTCAATCGAATCCTCCTTGCCCAACTCCTCTTCTACCCCGCCTTGCTGCCCTTGTCTGAAGGCGAAGGGCAAACGGAAGACAATGCTCGGCTTCAAGAGATGGCGCCCTAGACCATCAGATGTCTTAAAGACGCTTCCCGGGTCCAAACTGCGCAAAATCGCTGAGGCACTCCAGAGGACGCACGTCCAGCCCAGATCTACAGATCTCCTCCAGAGTCAACCAGAAATCCTTGCATATTCCAAGCAGAGCGTAGATGCGGAGATGCGGAGAGACGCTCGATGGATACGCCAAACCCTTCCAAAACGGAGAAGCCATAGCAAAGCAAAAGCCAGTAACGACAGGAAGGCACGGAAGCCAATAACAGGAGGGGCAGAGGGAGGAGCAGCGACAGCGGCAGAGATCCGCAGCAGAAGGGGGAGCAGGACAAGCAGGAGGAGCAGCAGCACCAAGGCCAGGCCAGGCCCTTCTTCTTGCTCCTCCTCGCCCTCGTCCTCGTCATCGCCCTCTTCTTCTTCCTCCTCCTCCTCCTTCTCATCATCATCATCATCATCATCATCATCATCATCACCACCATCACCATCACCATCACCATCACCATCACCATCACAATCACCATCACCATAACCATCCCCATCATCACCATCATCATCATCATCATCTGCATCATCAGCATCAGCATCATCATCATCACCACCACCACCACCACCATCATCATTCATCATTCATTATCATCATCATCATCATCATCATCATCATCATCATCATCATCATCATAATCATCATCATCATGATCATCATCATCATCATCATCATCATCATCAACATCATCATCATCATCATCATCATCATCATCATCATCATCATCATCATGTCCACCATCACCATCACCATCACCATCACCATCATCATCATCATCATCACCATCATCATCACCATCATCACCATCATCACCATCATCATCATCACCATCATCATCATCATCATCCTCATCCTCACCCTCATCACCATCACCATCACCATCATCATCATCATCATCATCATCATCCTCACCCTCATCACCATCACCATCACCATCATCATCATCATCATCATCATCATCATCATCATCATCATCATCATCATCATCATCATCATCATCATCATCATCATCATCATCGTGATCATCATCGGGACCGTCAAAAACGACTCAGGACAAAAAACCGGTCCCGGGGAAGGGGTCCAAACCTCTGGGGGTCGACGTCGTGAAAAAATCACGACGTCGGGGGTCTGGGTGCGCTGGACGCCCCTCCAGCGCAGGAGGCGCCGCCGGGAGGCCCAGCGCGGATCGAAGAAATCCGCACGGAGCGCTAAAAGGTTATGCTTCTGGCGTCTTCTCTTCGTCGACACTCGGCGACCAGCATCGCGCTGAGCAGCGGCGCAGCACCCTGCCGCTGCTCCCAGCCAGCCATCCCAGCACTGCAGTCGCTCGCGTCGTGCCCAGGCTCTGTGGCGCATCGCGTCGTGCTCCCGCCTCGGCAGTGGCCCGGCCCGCTGCCACCTGCCCACCGCACTCGGCCGCGCCGACTGGCGGCGGCTCGGACGGCTGCCACTCGACGAGCGCGATCCGCCACTCGCAAAGTAGCTGCTCGCAAGTGGACAGGGTCCCCCGCGGGGGATATTTGCGCTCCAGGACTCAGGGGAGGGCATGGCCTTTGTCCGGACGTCTGCGAGCAGGCATTTTTGCGAGCAGTGGAACGCGCTCGGTGAGCTACTGCCCGCCGTCCTCGCGCTCGCGGGCCCCGGCACTGCAGCTGATCGCGTGGAGCGCCGCCTTCTCCCCGATCTCGACGCTGGTGCCGAGAACGTTGGGCTCCGACTGCGGAGCCGGCGTGTCGCCCGGCAGCGGCGTGGCCCCACGCCACTGCCCTCCAGCCTCGCCATCACTGCTCCCTGCGCTGCAGCCGATCGCGCTGGGCAGGGCGGGCTGCAGCTCGCAGGTCCCGCAGTCGCAGATCCCAGTACTGCAGCAGATGGCGTCGGGCTCCAGCTCAACAACAGACCTGGCATCGGGCGAGGCGTCAGGCTGCGCGTCAGGCGCCTGGCGTCGGGAGGGTCGTCGGGAGGGTCATCGGGGTAGTCGTCGGGGGGGTGATCGGGGAGAGCGTCGCAGGGGTGGTCGGGCGGGATGTCGGGAGGTTCGTCGCGAGGGTTGGTGTAATCGTCGACGGGGTGGCCGGGGGGCGTCCTGGTGCGTCGGGGCAGTCGTCGGAGAGGGCCGTAGGCCGCAGCGTCGGGAAGGCAGCGGGGGAGTGCCGGGCCGCAGGCTGCGGCGAAGCCGTCGAGTGCGCCATCCGCCGCCGCCACCGCCGGAAAGGCCCCGGCGGCGGCGGCAGCGGTGGCGGCGGCAGCTGCGGCAGCAGCCGCAGCGGCCAGGGTAAGCCCCCCGTCCGCCGGGACGAGGGCCGACGCGGCCGCGACGCAGCCGAGAGCGGCCCGCCAGGGACCCAGGACATGGGAGGAGACGCCCAGAGAGGCGCCCCACTTCCCAGCGCCCGCCAGGCGCGCAGGAGGTCTGGGCCGACCCCCCGCCTCAAGCGCGCGGCCGGCTCGGCGGACCTTGAGCCGGAGCTGCTTGAGCCAGAGGGCTTGAGCCAGAAGTCTACGGGCACACACTCACATATGTTTGGGCGGCGCGGCCATGCGCGCGGCGGCGCGGCGGAGCAAGGTCGAGCACACACACACACACACGCACGCACACACACACACACATACACACCTATACACACACATATACACACACAAAGGTGTCTTCCCGAGAGGCCAAGCGCTGCTTCACTATCCCATCGCGACGACAGGCAGATGATAGGGCGATGTAACAGAATGGGCGCAAGGAGGAGGAGGGGAAAGGAGAAGAAGGAGCAGCAAAAGGGGGACGAGTAGGATGAAGAAGATGGGGGGTGGTACGTGGAGCGTGGAGGGAGCGGACGAGGAGGAGGAGACGGGAGGCAGGGAAAGCGAGAGAAGGACGAGAACGAGAACGAGAATAAGGGCATCAATATACAACCAAACGCCCAGCCGTCTGGGCGTCCATCGCTGTGCGGAGTGAAGGCCCATTGCTGCGCATTGTTGAACAGGCAGTATACGTCCTCAGTCAGTCTGGATGTTCAAATTCCCATGTTGCTACCCACTGCCACCACAAAATTTACCATCACTACTACTGCTGCTAATACTGCTACTACTGCTACTACTGCTACTACTACTACTACTACTACTACTACTACTACTACTACTACTACTACTACTACTACTACGACTACTACTACTACTACTACTACTACTACTACTACTACTACTACTACTACTACTCTACT